CATTACTGATGAAGGGTCTAGGCCCGAAACGTCAGCCTTTCTGCTCCTACGATGTTGCTTGGCCTGCTGTGTTCATCCAGCTCTGCACCTTGTTGTCTCAGATTCTCCAGCATCTGCAGTTCCTACTACCTCCTTTCCAATGCACCCTTTCTGGACAGCTCTGGATTGTATACATTTCAAGCCAGCTTCCTCTTACAATTCTAAACTCCAGCAGATTCAAGCCTAGCCTGTCAAACACAATGAGGAGGGGTTGAATCCAGCCACTTAACACAACAGGGGAAAGGAGTTCCTGAACCTAGAACTTGGACAATGATGGCAGCAATTTTTGTATCATCCATTAGGGGTCAGTATGTACAAATATTGCTTGTCCATAATAAAGGCAGGGCGGCCAGGACCACAAAACTGAAAATTGAGGAACGAACATAAAGCGTCAGAACAATCACAAATGTAAATGGGAAGAGACTAAATAAGGAGACAAAGAAAAAGTAAGCTAGGAAGAAATAAGTTGTGTGGAACAGGCTGAACAAGGGGTCTGCCAGGATGGTCCTGTTGTGGATTTTAGAAGAAGGTAAAAGCAGATTGAATAGGGTTAGGAGTTTATGAGATGGGAAGCCGTGGAGGGGAGATCTCCAGAAGAGCTAGCAGTCAATGGCAGTCCTGTAAACAACAACTTGATGTTCAATGATGGGGTCATAGCCCAAGGGGAGACAGGAGGAAGTGTCTGAAAATTAGTGCTCAGCTGCTGTAAGGTATAGATCAACTAACAATAACAGCTTCAGCCTTGTCCACGGATTTAGTAATAAAGTCAAGGTTAAACATGAGAGAATGGATTGCAGCAAATACAAAGGGAAATGGATCAGAGTGGGGGAGGGGAGCAGAGAAATTAAGGTAACTGATGTCCCATCAATAATCCCCAATGAAGAGATCAGGGCAGGTAAGTGGCCAGAAGAATCCCATCCTTACCCCGTCAGGATAGTCTGAAGATTCTGTTACTCCCTTGAAAAAAGGCCTGAACAGTTCCCATCATCCATCACCCCCTTCCTTCACCTAGCTGAGCTCATTCTCACTTTCAGCAATTTCTCCTTTCAACTTCTCTCATTTTCTCCGAATAAAAAGGTGTGGCTATGGGTCCCACATGGGTCCCAGAAATGCCTGTCACTTATTTGGGTCTGTGAAACATTCCTTGTCCCGGTACTATTCGGGCCCCCAACCAGATATCTTTCCCCGGGACATCTGTTACAACACTGACACAGAAAACCAAACCAAATCAGCCTCCCTATTCCTATATTTGCAACACAGTACAGTTAAAACATTCAACAACCCTCAAAATTACCCCAATGGTTCCGATCAAGACTTTGTGAATAACTAATACCAGAAACATTATACATTAATAAAAGAAGTAACAATTTGTTAATAATTCTATAACTTTAGTTTAGCAAAATTAAACAAGGCAATCTAATTGACATTTATGATTTAAACCCAAGCTTCTTCAACTCCAGCCCCCACTTACACAAAGACAAACAGACAAACAGACACAGTTAAGGGATAAAAGCCAAAAGTACTGCGGATGCTGTAAATCAGGAACAAAAACAAAGTTGCTGGAAGAGCTCAGCAGGTCTGGCAGCATCTGTGAAGGAGAAAACAGAGTTAACGTTTCGGGCCCGGTGACCCTTCCTCAGAACTGATAGTGGCTGGGAAAACGTCAGTTTATATGCAGAAAATAGGGAGGTGGGTGGGGTAGGGAGTAAACGATAGGATAGAGCCCAAAGAGAGAGAAAGACTGTTGGACAGACAAGGGAGTTGCTAACAATCAGGCTGGGAGGGTGAATAGTTGTTAATGGGGACGGTTAGTGACTAACAACAGGGGGTGTGTAGTGGCAGGCTATGTGGTAACAAGGCCTGGTGTGTGGAGTGGGGGGCTGGGACATGGGAGAGTTTAGGCCCTAAAATAATTAGACTCAATATTGAGTCCAGAGGGCTGTAGGGTCCCCAAGCGGAAAATGAGGTGTTGTTCCTCCAGCTTGCATTGGGCTTCACTGGAACACTGCAGCAAGCCAGAGACGGAGACATTGGCCAGGGAGCAGGGTGGTGCATTGAAGTGGCAGGCAACAAGTAGTTCAGGGTCTTTTTTGAGAGCAAAACGTAGATGATCTGCAAAGCGGTCGCCAAGTCTACGCTGCATTTCCCCAATGTAGAGGACACCACATCGTGAGCAGTGAATGCAGTAGACTAGAAAATGGGAAGTGCAGGTGAAGTGTTGCTTCACCTGGGAGGTATGTTTGGGCCCTTGGATACTGGGAAGGGAGGAGGTAAATGGGCAGGTGTTGCACCTTACAGGGGAAGGTGCCGTAGGGCTGTGGGGGTGTGTTGAGGGTGAAGGAAGTGTGGACAAGTGTGTCCCGGAGGGAACGGTCCCTGCGGAAGGTGGACAAGGGAGGGGAGGGGAATATGTGTCTGATGGTGGCATCTTGCTGGAGGTGGCGGAAATGGCGTCTGATGATCTTCTGGATGTGGATGCTGGTGGGATGATAGGTAAGGACAAGGGAAACCCTATCGCCGTTGCGGGAGGAAAGAGAAAGGGTAAGGGCGGAAGTGCGGGAGATGGGTTGGACCTGGTAGAGGGCCCTGTTGACAACGGAGCTGGGGAATCCTCGGTTGAGGAAGAAGGTGGACATTTCGGAGGCTCCCTTGTCGAAGTTGGCCTCATCTGAACATGTGCAACAGAGACAGAGGAACTGAGAGAATGGGATGGAGTCTTTACAGGAAGTGGGGTGTAAGGATGTATAGTCCAGGTAGCTGTGGGAGTCAGTGGGCTTGTAATGGATATTAGTGGCCAGTCTATCCCCAGAAATGGAAACAGAAATGAGGAAGGGAAGGGAGGAGTCAGAGATAAACCAGGTGAAAGTTAGGGCAGGGTGGAAATTGGAGGCGAAATTAATGAAGTTTTCCAATTCCAGATGAGAGAGGGAAGCAGCACCGATGATATCATCGATGTATTGGAGAAAGAATTGTGGGTGGGGCCGGAATAGGACTGGAACAAGGAATGTTCCACATAACCCATGAAGAGACAGGCATAACTAGGGCCCATGCGGGTACCCATGGCCACCCCTCTTACCTGAAGGAAATGAGAGGAGTTGAAAGAGAAGTTGTTGAGGGTGAGGACAAGCTCGGCCAGTTAAGGGATAAATCAAAAGAAAAATGAGAAAAATGTACCTGGCTCGTTCACTTTTGCAGTCTGTTCAATTTGTAATATCACAGACACATAGGTATCTTGCTTGGTTTCTGAAGACATATGTCAATGTCATCAGCTTCCAGTAAGTTCCAAAGAATATTCACACAGTCCTTATAACTGAGATTCTATTCCCTGAACTTTAAATACATTGATAATGGATGAATAACCAGAAAGCTATCAGAACTTCTTCCTATAGCTTCAGCAGACACAATCTTTCTGACAAACACAGTTCAAAACAAGTGCAAACTTTGGTTTTCTTTTCTGATGTTCCAAACATTTTCTTTGTTAGACTGATTGGCATCATATCTCCCTGTGAGGCCTCAGTTTATAACCAAACGTCTGCCATCTGTTTGAGCATAATGTCTCTCCAGAGCCAAAACATCTATAGCGTACTTTGAACAAAAATCAAGCTGTAATTAACTTCCCAGCTAAACAAATCAGTTTATTTGCTAACAAATATTTGTTCTCTCATTTTTAAAAACAAGCTACTGCTCACAGCTCCAAACCAAAAATGATGAAAATAAAAATAAAATAATGAAGGTCTCACTATATTAATGATATTGTCAGTGCTGCTTCCTGCTATCATCCAGAATTGGAAAAATTATTCAATCATTCTTTCAATTTTGATCCTTTTTACACATTCATCTAGTCTATTAATGACTCACCCCTTCTCTTCCTTGACTTCTCTTTTGATTTCTGGGGATAAGCTGTCCACCAATTTCCAATACAAACCCCCTGGCTCCCATAGTTACCTCGACTACGCCTCCTCAAACGTTGTTTTCTGCAAGGGTTCCATTCCACTCCCCCAATTTCTCTGTCCCTGTCCCATTGGTTCCAATGATGCCACCCACCAGAGGGGCCTTCTGACAATGTTTTCCTTTATTCTGTTTACAGGATTACCCTCAGTTGTATTCAAATCCATCTCCTGCACTTCTCTTTTGTTCCTTCACCCTCTCTCAGAACAA